GGGAGGGGAGGGGATGGGGTGGATGGGATGGATGGGAGGGGATGGGATGGATGGGATGGGATGGATGGGATAGGATGGGATGGGATGGGATGGATGGGATGGGACGGGATGGGATGGATGGGGTGGGATGGGGATGGGACAGGATGGGATGGGATGGGATGGGATGGGATGGGATGGGATGGGATGGGACGGGATGGGGGCTGCGGGGCCGGCCCCTGTCCCAGCTGGGTGTCCCGCAGACCTTCCGCCCTGCGGCCATGCTGGTGGAGCGCTCGGCTGACTACGGGCGCAGCTGGAAGGTGTACCGCTACTTCGCCTACGACTGCGCCGCTGCCTTCCCCCACGTCCCCCGCGGGCCCCCGCGCCGCGTCGACGACGTCGTCTGCGAGTCACGCTACTCTGACATCGAGCCCTCCACCGAGGGGGAGGTGAGGGCCTGGCAGTGCTGTGGGAGGGTCGCGGGACCCCCTGCTCTCCCCTCACTGCCCTGCTGCCTCCCCCCAGGTGATCTACCGGGTGCTGGACCCTGCCATCCCCATCCGGCCCCCCCCCAGTTATTCTCCGGGGTGCTGGACCCTGCCATCCCCATCCGGGACCCCTACAGCCCCGCCATCCAGAGTGAGTCGCCCGCCCCGGGCTCCTGCCTGGCTGCTCTATTTTGGGCGCAGCTATTTTGGCTGCCCTCGCCCTGCTCTGAGCCCCGTGGCGGGGTCGGGGCCGGATCCAGCCCGCAGAGACTCTGGCCTCCCCTGCACCCCTCCCCATGGGAGCAGCTAAAGGTCGGGCTGCATCAGGGCGAGTGGAGGGGGACGGCTGTGCCAGAGCCGTGCCGGAGCCGAGCCCAGCGCAGAGCAGCGGCTGCAGCGTGGGATGGTGTCGGTGACGGGCAGAGGAGTGGGGCCGAGCGCGGGATGCAGCGGGTTAATCGCTAGGGCTAAATTTAGGCTGGGAGCAGGAGGGGAGGAATCTGCAGGGCAGGGCTGCTGGGAAGCTGCGGTCCCGGGGGAGCCATCCTGTGCTGCTGGGGTCCCCAGGCTGCGCCCAGCCGGCACAGCCATCCTCCGGGCACAGCCCGCGGCGGTGGGTGCCCCGAC